TCCGCGCTGCTTCTCTTGGGCAATGCAGTCACGTCTTTTCCATGTACATGTGTGTATGTATGTTGATGTGTGTGTGTGCCCGCGCGTGCGTGCGCGTACATGTGTTGCGTGCGTATGCTAGTCAACCCCTGATATAACGAACCCCATCGTGCAGGAGAATTCGCTATATGCGAGTTTTTTTTAATAGGTGGAGTTGACTGTATGTTGTTCTTTGCATTTCATTCCTCTATGTGTTGTTGTGTGCGCGCAGACTGAAATCCAGGAGTTCAAACGCGAGCACATCATTTCCACCATCGTGGAAGAGGAACAGAAAACCAATGGGTACGTCACATAAGTTACGATAACTATGCCTACAAGTACATGCACTGTCGTGGACATTGAAGTCCAGTGGAATGGCCGGGGCCGGCACTCTTACTACCTTAGCGCGTACAAGCACACTGCAGTTCACGCACACACTAAAAAAATGCACCTGTAATGCTCTCGGCTGCAAGGCCAGTGCCCTGTGGCCGTCCGTTTGGCTTCTCAACGGATGTCAATGTCCACCACAGTAGTTTTAGCTATACGTTTTAAGCTGCAATTCGGTTCCAGTTTGATACGAAAGCAATCCTCGGGTAACGATTCTATGTGGTGCAAGGTATGGCCCGTGATGTAGCTCTGTGCGTTAGTATGTTCTGTGTGTTCACATGTCCATCAAGTATTCTTGCATCAACATACACACACACACACACACACACACACACACACACACACACACACACACACACACACTCTCTCTCTCTCTCTCTCTCTCTCTCTCTCTCTCTCTCTCTCTCTCTGTCCCTGTTCAGCATGATGAAATGGCTACACACGCTACCCAAACACGAGTACAACAAGTTCACTGGTCACAAGGTTGGACCTCGCGAGGAGCAGGCTGCTGCTGCTGCTGCCGCCGCCGCCACTGACACCACCGATGTTCCTGCACCTGTGGCAGATGAAACTCCTGCTGTTGTTGAGGAGGCAGCTGGTAAGTTGGACGGGATGATTGCCTGGTTTTTTTGATTTTTTGTCCACTTGACTGCCGAACCCGTACTATTAGGGGGTCCTAGATGACACGCAGGCTCTGAGCCCGTACCATTAGTGGATGACTGTTCATTGTGTATTGATGAGAAGTAACAGTATGTTTGAATGATCGTAACTCCGTCAACTCCTACCCGATTCTCACACGCGAAATATGTAAGTCGCAGAGAAAGCTCGCAGCAATACTCGCCGAAGAGATAAATTCAACGATCATGGAGTTATGGCGCTCAACGGATACGCAAATCCAACACGCACAAAGACTTTTTTTGCGCATTGCGCAGCACTTGATTTTCTTTTTTTCTTCGCTTTTGGTGCCATGGCAACTTCAGTTCCAATCGAGCAGTAGACTCGCGGGCATGTTCCAAACAATTGAGCTCGATACGAGCAAGGAGAGTCGAAAGGCGGCTGAACGTGTGGTGTGTTTTCAATTAAAAAAATGACCCGTTTTGCTGGTCCATAGAGCCCTGGTGCACCTGCCAGCAGCAGTCAAACGGTTACATAGTCTATTAGCGTACAGTACATACTGTAGAGGCAGAAAATTTCGTCGGTCAATAATTTCGTCCAACTCCAAAGAAAAGGAGTTCGTCCGGTTGAAAATTTCGTCCAGGGATCATAAGAGTGTATAGAAAAGCTGGACAAATCGATATTCGTCCTACATTTAATTTAGTCCAAAAGATCCTTGGACGAAAAAGGCGAAATTAAATTCCAGACGAATATTTCTGCTTATACAGTACCAGCAGTCTGTGTGCAACATTTGTCCATTGGAACGGGAGTATTTTGTGTGCGGGATTCTGGCACGTGCTTTTCACCTTGCTATCCTGGCTTGTGTATTTTGCTGGTGACGTACACACACACATGTATTTCTGTTTTGTTTTCCGGTTGTCCAGGTACATCATCACCTACTGCTGCAGATGAGAACTAGACGAGAGTGAAGCTGGAGTGTACCAAAGTCCTATTACAAGGTAGTGGTGAAGGCGGTGTTCTCCTGTTTGTGGACTTGGGACATGGTACTGAATGCCAAGTCAGACGTATCGTTTACAGAGCGTGCTGGGCCGTCTGCACACAGCCAGCACCAGGCGAATTGTTTCGCCTCTGCGCGTATTCACGCTGGTGCTCAACTTCACCACCTCTGCAATACCTTTCCCTGGACTGTGTGTCAGTCGCTGTGACCTATGATGTCGCGGTGTCTTGCATTGTTGGTGATGACATCATTGTTATATGTGGCACTGGCAGTGATGTAATGCAATGGCGTCACACTCTGTATGATGATGCTAATTCCTGCTGTTCATGATGTTGTGCATTGCCAGTGATCACAGCAGATCTCGTACTGCTCATTACAGCTCTGGCATCATTGGCGGCAGCTACTTGAGAAACCCATTCCCAGCTGGCCCGGAGTGCAGGCAGGGGCACTCTTTAACCAATCCCTTACTTCTGTATTTCATTCTCTCATCCACATTGAAGTAGATTACTGGCGCCTAGTTGCACATGTCTGTCTGTCTGTGTGGGTGCGTGCGTGCGTGCGTGTGTGCATGTCACTGGTTGTGTGTGCACATGCGTGTGTGTAATGCTTGACTGATGTTTTAGAATCTTAGTTTCTAATTTCTATCAAGAGTATACTGCACATACTGCACATTCTGTGCTTGTGCTGATCTGCTCAGTAAGAATGCGTTGTTGTTGTTGTAGTTGTTGTTGTTGTTGTTTCAAATCTTTATTCTCACGATAGCGAGTGGCCAATAAGAGATAATAGTGTAAGAAAGGAGAAAGAGGGAGGAAAAATTGGGGGGGGGGGGGGGGGGGGGTGTTGTTGTTGCTGTATACTTTATTTATTGGAAATCGCGTCTGGTCTTCTCCAGTTCATGAACCAAAGCGGCATGATGCAGAGAAGTGTTTCTTGATGATCCAATGGAAGTTGTTGTGTGTGTTGCAGCAATAGGGTGGAGGGGTGACTTTTGAAAATTCGCATGGCCTTTGCTAAGATGGTATGTATTGGCTGTGCCCTTTGATATCAGACACTCTACAATGACTTCAACTTGAAATTCTCTCAGGACAAGTACTAATACTGATAGTGGAGATGATCACTCTTGGCCGTTAATTAAATACTCTGCACATTGAGTAATCCAAACCCAATTGCCACACCCAGCAAAGACACACGGCACAGCAACACACGGCTGTCATCGCCAGCACGTTTCAAGGGAAAGCACCAAAAGCATGGAATGCAGGGCACCTGGCCACGCTGTGGATCAAAGCACATAATTATAGGGGATACTAGTAAAGCAGTTATAATATCGGATCTATGAGTGCAGTTATCAATGTAGAGTTCTGGCCAGAGAAATCCAACCTCATCAATAAGGACTTAGGTAGCGCTGGGCTCAAGTGAGCAGAGTGCTGTGTGTGTGTGTGTGTGTGTGTGTGTGTGTGTGTGTGTGTGTGTGTGTGCGTGCGTGTAGTGTGTGTGTGTGTGTGGTGCTAGGTCATAAGCCCTCGGCGATATTATATTCATGAGGCTGGATTTCTCTGACCAGGAGTGTAACATGGAGCTCAGTGTCGTATGCATTGGTACCGGAGGATATCACCGGGACCAACAATGAGTGTATTGTGAAAACAGAACAAGTTAGTGCTATAAATCAGTAACTAGTGAACAAGTTCTACACACTAACTCTCAAACTGAAGCCTTGTTACTTTCCAGTGGTCAACACTCCTTTTCGCAACACTTGTATCACTGTATTTTAAAGCGATGTCATAATATTATAGGATACTTTCATTACAACAGCTCTTATATACACCGGTCATGCGTATGGTGGTGGCCTGCGATCAATGTGTGTGTGTGTGTGTGTGTGTGTGTGTGTGTGTGTGTGTGTGTGTGTGTGTGTGTGTGTGTGTGTGTTGAGTGGCAACGTGCTGCTGGTATGTGAAGAACTGGCTGTGTTTTCTCTCCTGTGCATTTTGCTCAGGATAGGTGATCAGACATGTGTGGCAAGCTGCCCGGTGACAGGCCCCGGTTGGGGGCGTTCATCTGAGGTGATATGGTGTTTTTTCCTTGAGCGCTGACTGGCACGGTGGAATCCACCAATGGCGAGCGGCGAGACGGGTGCGGGCTCGGCTTGCGTACGTCCATCTCCAGTAGCTTCTTCTGCGTGTGCATGCTCTCGTTGCTGCGTAGCGACTGCTCGTGTAGATCGCTGAGCGACGGACTTCTCATCGAGTTTGGCGAGTCGACGGAAAGCTGGCTGCGTACCAGCGTGGGCGTTGAGTGTCCGCCGGGCCCTGGTGGTGCCGGTGTGTCCACTCGTTGTGTTGCCGAATGAGAGCTGCGCGAAATGCGGGGCGAGCGTAGGATACCGGGCGAGGGCGGTGCATGCATGTTGACAAGCGAGGACGAGGCGAGGCCGACCTTCTCCGACCCGTTCAGGCTTAGTATGGGCAGAATATCCGGCACTGTCAGCCGTTCATCCGGGTTACTTCTTCCCCCACCGCCGGTGCCGCGGGAGAACTGTGGTGGAGCCATTCCGTCATCGTCAACGGAGTACGTTGGACGAGGTGAACGCTTGCTGGTCTTCTTCGATTGTTTCTCCGTAGACAGCGCGGCACTGTCCACGCGTTGCTGCCGACCTACGCTGCCTATCCTGCCTCGCTGTGTCTGAGTGGGCGACGGCAGGTTTTCGTCGACGTTTGGCAGTCGACCATGGTGATCCACCCGTGCTGTATGCTCCTGCTGCGGCCATTGCAGGTTGCAATGACACTGTTGTCGAACAGTGTCCATGTCAGCAAGAAGCCGCTGTCTTTCTTCTAGCGCATGTTTCAAGTCGGTCATCTACAAGGCATGGGGCCGATAAGAAGGAGGGGGAATAACCAACTTCAGATTAAGCAGATTTGCACTGGCAATGCGCAGAGAGCTTTGCACCTTGTAAACGTGTAACAAACACACATGTGTTTCGCACTGTGTGCATCTACAGAGCCAGCAAACAAATCATAAGCGTAAGCTGTCCATAAACTCACCTCGGTGGCATTCCTGCTTTTGAACTCCTCTATCTGATCAGCTAGGTCTTGTCGCAGTGCTTCAGTGCGCTTTTTCTACAAATATACACACACGAACACACATACGCACGTGCACACACACACACGCGCACACACATACACACACAAAACGAACAAGTGGACATGTGTTAGTCACCATGGGGGGGGGGGGGAGGGAGTACGAATAGGCCATTCTCATACCCTACTCAGTAGAGTCTATCCTGGGTGCATACACTGCTCTTCCTTTTCACTAGGAGCTACTGTGCTAGCTGTAAGTCTGTTGCCAGCAGAACGCGTAGAAAAATATGCAGTTTGGAGCCAGACAAGCATCCTCCTACTTGAAGTATGATATCGAGTTTCGGCACAGGGTAATGACTGGCCCTGTAGCTGACCCTGCTGTAGCTGACCCCAGCCCTGTAGCTGACCCTGGCCCTGTAGCCGACCCCGGCCCTGTAGCCGACCCCGGCCCTGTAGCCGACCCCGGCCCTGTAGCCGACTCCAGCCCTGTAGCCGACCCCGGCCCTGTAGCTGACCCCAGCCCTGTAGCTGACCCTTGCCCTGTAGCTGGCCCTGGGCCTGTAGCTGACCCTGGGCCACCTTACCACTCTCGTTGCGCTGCGCTGCTGCCAGCTCCGCTTTCTGCCTCCTGGCTTCAGCAGTAATGCTCGAGGAGCATCGAGAAAAGCTCAAAAAAATCGGCTTGTCGAGGAGGAGATACTTTCGGCTTCCTCCGTGATGCAGCCTGCAACAATGTTACTGGTATAGTCACTCCCGCAACAAGTCAAATTCACGTTTCGGTCTTTGTTCTTACATTCATATCGCCTGACCGGTTCACTGTGCTGCTTGTACTCTCCCTATAGCTGACCTTGGGCCATATGACCCCTGTAGCTGACCTTGGGCCATACCACCCCTGTAGCTGACCTTGGGCCATACCACCCCTGTAGCCTACCTGGAGTCATACCACCCCTGTAGCCTACCTGGGGTCATACCACCCCTGTAGCCTACCTGGGGTCATACCACCCCTGTAGCCTACCTGGGGTCATACCACCCCTGTAGCCTACCTGGGGTCATACCACCCCTGTAGCCTACCTGGGGTCATACCACCCCTGTAGCCTACCTGGGGCTGTACCACCCCATACCTGGGGCCGTACTCTCCCTGTAAGCAACCTTGGGCTGCACTACACTTCATGAGCTGACTCTGGACCTGGATATCTGACTCAGGTGTCTACCCCAAATCTTGAGAAGCCTTTCTGGACAAGCGGATGTGCATTTGAACTGACATTAATTTGTGCAGATGAGTGCGGCACAGAGTGTATTCTAACCATGTACCTGACTGGTTCAGGTATCTAACTTTAGCACAGCTCATGTGGCAGCACAATGATCTCAGCACGTGTGTGTGTGTGTGTGTGTAGAAAAAAATGGAAAATGAAAAATAGGGATTCACTGGCCAGAAAAAGTCACTTCAAACAGCTGTGTGGTGGATACCAGGCTAAAAATAGTGGCGGTCAATTCATCAGCCTTGCAAGCTGTTGAATGGTGTAATCCCAGCACAAGTTGCTATGTCTAACATAGCTGTTCGCTATCATCGCTTCCGCGATGGGCAGGTCTGAGGTCTGAGGTGTGTGTGCGTGTGTGTGTGTGTGTGTGTGTGTGTTCGTGCGTGCCAGTGTGCATGCGTTCACACGTGTCAGTGTGTGGTCTCACTTTCCCTGCCTATCTTACCTGTTGTGTCTTGATATTTCTCACATGTTGCATCCATTCTTCATGTTTGGACTGCAGCAGCACCTTGCTCTTCTCTTTCACTGAGTCCACTTTATCCTCCGCCGCCTTCACCCGAGCTGACAGCGCTTCTCGGGACTCGATGTCGGGAAGGTTGCCGTCATCCTGCGAGAAGTCATGAGAAAATTGTACATAGCAGAACCGTTAGCTATGTGATGTAGTAGCAGGGGTGTTGGCCTCACTACAGTCACTAAGGTATTGACCATGCAGTGGCACTACCCACCCCCACACCAGGTGAAATGCGAGTTTGGAAACGTGATTATTTTGTCCGCCTGGTTGCCAGTATTTCCGGGGAGGGTACTAGAGTGCGGCTCAATGAAGTCTAATCGAGTGAGTCAGGTATGCGCCTTACACCAGTGAAAGTCCCAGTGTTGGTAGGTCTAGGGCTGCACAGTGCACGGTGATTGCTTGACTCACGCTAGCAAGCAGCACACTTTGCAGCACTACACTCTGTACATGTAAAGTACCACCTGGTGTAAGCGACCTCCGGGTTTAGCAACCACCTGCTCTTAACGACAGTTTTTCCATGCACCGACAGCTCTACACAGACACCGTGGGACCTGGTTCTAAAGACCACCTGGCTTTAACGACCGCTTTTCCTTGCACCGTGGGGCGGTTGCTTAACCCAGGTTTTACTGTACTGGCACTCTC